CGAAAACCAGTCCACTGGTCAGTGCAGACGCGGAGCGAAGCACGAAGCACGCAGCGCCACAGTTTTGTCCGTCTATCGCCACGCTTGTCTATCACTCTCGTCTATCTCTCTGTCTATCCGTCCGAACGCAATGGAAGACTGCCTGAACGTGCCCTATCGTTCTATCCAGGAAACGTGTTCTATCGCATTGCGCCCGACAAGCGCCTCGCAAACATGTCCGCGCGACGTGTCGCATGTCTGCGCGCCGCGCACGGTGGGCCAGAAGACCGGTGTAGGCGGCCAAAACTCTGGACGCGTTTTGAGCTCCAGAGTCGCTAAATGGGACTCGAACCGAACGTGTGACCGCACCAATGGTCACACGTTCACTTCGAGTCCCATTTGGCGACCTTGGAGCTCAAAACGCGTCTAGAGTTTTGGTCGCCTCCACCGGTCTTCTGGCCCACTGTACCGCGCTGGCATGCGCATTTTGGCGGTGAGTGTACTCTGAGCGACTTCCAGTGGTTTCAGCGAGTCACTCCCTGGCTTCCTGTTCAGAATCACTCACTGCTCGACCGATACACTATCGTCCGTTCGCCCTGCCAAGGTCGCACTGCGCTTGGCTGACCTTGCCGCACCTTCTAGTGTAGTGCAGTGTGAGCAGTTTAGTACAGTCCGCTCCAAAAGCGCGACGCGCCTGGATCGGGAAATGTTGGCGTTGGCGTTCGGTGGGAACCTTTGGGAACTCCGAAGTCATCGTACCCATTCGCATTGTGGTTCATCATCACTCGGGTGACATTCGAATGGGAATCTCTCTCTCTCTCTCTCTCTCTCTCTCTCTCTGCTCTCCCACGCAAGTACTTCTTCCTCCTCGCTCGCACTCGAGTCGAGAGGACTGCGACAGGCTTCCCCGCCCGTCGGCCGAGCGTTAGGTGGGCGGTACCTGGTAGGCATCAATCCATCATCCTAGGTACCAATCCCCGAGGAATTTCAGCGGCGGCATTCTCAAGTCTCCAGCTTGACTCCAGCGGTACAAATGTCACAGCAGTGGCTTGACTCCAGCCGCGTAAGCACACACTCTCAAACTCGCAGTGGGCCCGAAGACCGGTGGAGGCGGTCAAAATCCCGGACGCGTTTTGAGCTCCAGAGTCGCTAAATGGGACTCGAACCGAACGTGTGACCCCACCAATGGATTGCTCTCCGAACAAGCAATCCATTGATGCGGGGTCACTCGCTCTGTTCAAGGTTCAAAGTGCACCCTAAAAATGTGTTGCAAAACGCTTTCGTTCCCCAAAGCTGTTGATTTTTGGCGGCGTTCTAAAAGTAGCCTCGCTGCGTCGCAGTGCGTCGCCATTTCGACGGCGTGAGTCAGGCGGCGCTGATTCAGCGTCGCGACGCCCGCGTCTGCAGCTGCCGCACCTGCAAACCGACACGCGTTTTCGTCGCTCTGTCTCTCTCGCACTCACGAGGCGTCCCGTGTGGGTGCGAGAGAGACAGAGCGACGAAAAAGACTCTCGGAATCAGTCTGCGCGTGCGTCACGCTGCACAAGGTGCGCCAAAAGCTGCGCAAGTTCAGCAAAGTGCGCCCAAAGCTGTGCAAGTTCAGCAAGGTGCGCCAAAAGCTGCGCAAGTTCAGCAAAGTGCGCCAAACGCTGCGCGAGGTCAGCAAGGTGCGCCAAAACCTGCGCAAGTTCCACAAGGTGCGCTAAAAGCTCCGCAAGTTCAGCAAGGTGCGCCAAAAGATGCGCAAGTTCAGCCAGGTGCGCCAAAACCTGCGCAAGTTCCACAAGGTGCGCCGAAAGCTGCGCAAGTTCAGCAAGGTGCGCCAAAAGCTGCGCAAGTTCCGCAAGGGCGCCGCCGCGAAAGTTACTTTGATTCCTTCTCGTCCCGATACGTTTGTAATAATGTAATGGCTGCGGTTGCGGTTCGGCGAGGTATGTATTGGCGCAGCGGCGCTGCGGAGGGAGATGTCTTGATAAACCGTGCGGCACGCAACGCCCCGTCTCTCTCGCACTCACACGGGACGTGCCGTCGCGGCGCGAGAGAGACAGAGCGACAGGTACCGGCCAATTTGTAGGCGGCAATTTTAAAACTATCGTCGAGAGAGAGAGAGAGAGAGAGAGAGAGAGAGAGAGAGAGAGAGAGAGAGAGAGAGAGAGAGAGAGAGAGCCAAGCACGGTCCCAAGGACGCGCCAATCGGCTCAGAGAAATTGTTTTCTTTCCCAAGACATTTGCATGGGGAAGTTCATGTAAAGCCGAGCTGTTAAATTTATCGGCCTTTAGAGTCGCCACGGCTTTCGCAGTGTTGTGCGTCGCTGGGAACGCAACGCGACGCGGAGCGTATTGTGGCTTAGGATGCACTTGGCACACGCCGAGTATTGTTGCTTGTTGCACGCGTCTCTCTCTCTCTCTCTCTCTCTCTCTCTCTCTCTCTCTCTCTCTCTCTCTCACTCGCGGGGCGTACCGGGAGTTGCCAGAGAGACAGCGCGCCGTTCGGATCAGCTCGCAGTGTCGCAGCACGCCGTATTTCAGGTTAGCCACTGATTACCCGGCGCCATACATTGCCACGTCGCCAGCCCCGTCGCTCTGTCTGTCTCGCACTTACGAGGCGCCCCGGCAGGGTGCGAGAGAGACAGCCAGAACGACTCGCACGGCACGGCGGCCTTAGCCGGTGGTGAGCTAAGCAGACGGTAGTCTCGGCAGAGACGTACGACTCGGATGAATGAATGAACGAACGAACGAATGAATGAATGAATATGAATGAATGAATGAATGAATGAATGAATGAATGAATGAATGAATGAATGAATGAATGAATGAATGAATGAATGATGAATGATGAATGATGAATGAATGATGAATGAATGAATGATGAATGAAGTGAAATGAATGAATGATGAATGAATGAATGAATGAATAATGAATGAATGAATGAATGAATGAATGAATGAATGAATGAATGAATGAATGAATGAATGAATGAATGAATGATACCTTCGCCAATGAGGCGGAAACCGCCGTTTCGCTCATCGCACGCCAGAGGGCGCAGGGAGTCTCTGCCAGCGCCCGCCTCGCGCTCCGCAGATACGTTGTCGCTTTCGTAGGTCCACCAGCGTCCTCATTCCCGTTGCTGATGATGAAATTAGAATCTTATTTCTAAATTTTTGGCGGGGTCAGTCCATCTCTTCTTGGACGACCCTAATAAAGGAGTTCAAACAGCTCGAAGATAGATATTGGAACCCCGTGAAAGTAGTGATTTTTCCGTCTGGGGCAACTCCTTGCCGCGTTCGACTGCGGCTCGTGATGCGCCACTGTCTCTGTGTTTCGCAAATCGCACACAACTGATGCTCGCTTTGCGTTTTGAATGTTGCCGGTTTCTGAGGTCAGCCAACGCCACACAGATTCCTTTCATATCAACCCAAATTCGTCAGTCATAGGCGTATCCTACTAAGTTAGGGTGGGGCTATTAGCAGGCAAAGCCCTTCGTTGGCAAAGTGCATGGGAAACCTACGAGGTGATACAACTAAAGAAGGCGATGCAAATCGATGAAAGAAATAGCTGTTCAATCTCCTCTTTTCGCTTTTCATGAACGCAACGGAAGTCCGGCCGGCGGGATGAAGCGCGCGTGCCGCCGGGCCGGGGCCGGCAGCTGTCATCTTGATGGAAGTGGGGCGATGAAGCGGCGAAGCACGGCGAAGCGCACAGGAGCTCGCGGCTCGCGCGTCTCCCTTCCGACGCCCCGCCCCGCCCTGCCCCGCCCCGCCCGCCACCCCCCGCCCCGCCCTGCCCCGCCACGCCCCGCCACGCCCCACGTTTGGCACGCGCCGTCGCGATCCTCGGCGGCACGCCGCGCCGCGGCTCGGTTGAGTCACCGGAAAAGAAACAAGTCCACATCCTTTGCGGAAGAGCGGGGACCATCATCACCTTCATTCAGTGCAGCCGAAACGCGCTGCTTAGAATTCCACGGGACAGACGGACGGACAGACAGACAGACAGACAGACAGACAGACAGACAGACAGAGAGAAAGACAGGCACAGACGGGCAGACAGACAGACAGACAGACAGACAGACAGGCAGAAGGACAGAAATGCATACGGTAGTAAGTAACGACGTACATCCTCCTTCCTCCTTCCCCGATGCCGATAACTGCGCCTCGCAAAGCAGTATGCGTGTATACACTGTATTCCGGGACCGGCTTGGGCAGTGCACGCGGGGCGGGAATCTTCAAAACGAACGAAGAGCAATTATACACCGTGAGCGCCGTGGCTAATCACTGGATTTGCGGTTAGCTGCGCGGCTACCGCGGCACAGCGCTCAGCAGGCTGATTTCGAGAGTCGTTTTCGTCGCTCTGTCTCTCTCGCACTCATGCGGCGCCCGCTATCGGTGCGAGAGAGACAGAGCAACGAAAACGACTCTCGGAATCGGTCTGCTGGACAGCCAACGGGGATCGCTTTCTGGGCAATGGGAGCGACAAGGCGTTAGCACGCGACGGTGTGTGCGTGTGTATGCGTGTATGTGTGTGTGCGAGTGTGTGTCACCCGGTGACCGCCATGCAAGTGATACACTCTAAATGTAGGGTGTCCAGAAACTGGGCGCCTTTGTCGCCTGCTCCACTTTTTAGGGTGCCAAATGTCGCCCAGTTTCTGGGCACCTTTGTCGCCTAGTCTCGGGGTGGGCAAACCATTAGGGAACCTGCCTTCACCCATGGCTCAGCAGCGACTAAGGTGCCAAAGGTGCCCAGAATCTGGGCACCTTAGTCGCCCAGGAACTAGACACCTGTGCATGCTCTACCATGGGAGAAGGCCGGTTACTGCATGATTAGTCCACCCCGAGACTGGGCGACAAAGGTGCCCAGAAACTGGGCGACATTTGGCACCCTAAAAAGTGGGGCAGGCGACAAAGGCGCCCAGTTTCTGGGCACCCCATATTTAGAGTGTAGTCGCACTCACTCGGGGCGAGTGAAAGTCCTACAATGCCACCCCACTGGCAAGCCGTGCGCGACAAAGCCCCACCAAAGTCGCCGTGGCAACCGCCCGGCTTCACCACTTCAACACTTTTCGGCTCAGGGAAAACAACCCCCGTCAAAATCACTCGGGTAAAGCAGACCCCAACCCCGGTTCCGGCCGCCTAGAACCCCTCCAAATTCCCCGAGTGTGCAAACGCAGCCGTCCGCCATGAACGCGACGCTGGGCGACGCGCTGGACACGCTGGGCGAGTTCTCCTGGGTGCTGCTGGGACTCGTGGCCACGCACGCCGCCGTGCAGGTACCCGGCGCGTTTCGCGCTCCAGCGTCGCTGAATGGCACTCGAACCGCACGTGTGATCCCACCAATGGATTCCTCGTTCGGAGAGCAGTCCATTGGTGGGGTCACACGTTCGGTTCGAGTCCCATTTAGCGACGCTAGAGCTCAAAACCCGTCCGGGATTTTGACGCATTTTGAACGTGTCACTTTGAACTCCACCAATGGACTGCTCTCCGAACGAGGAATCCATTGGTGGGGTCACACGTTCGGTTCGAGTCCCATTTAGCGACTCTGGAGCTCAAAACGCGTCTAGAGTTTTGGCCGCCTCCACCGGTCTTCTGGCCCACTGTGCAACGCTTTGTTTGCGCGGCGCAGGTCCGCAAGTACCAGGACACGTACCCGACGGGCGGCGTGCAGCACGTGCTCCGCGGCGTGCTGGCCACGGTGTGGTTCGGCGTGGGCTCGGCGCTGGCGCAGGCCCTCATCCTGGGCGAGCCCCCCGAGAGCGTCATCGTGCCCGTGGCGGCGTGCGTGGCGGCCTACGCCTGCGTCACCTACTGCCCCCGGGACATCCCCTACACGCTGTCGCAGACCCCCGCCGTCAACGCCCTGCTCATCGTGGGGCTGGAGGTGTGCCGGGCGCTGTGCGTCGGCGTGGGCGTCAACAGCGCGCTCAAGGTCAGTGCCGAAAAGGGCATGCCGCCGGCCGGGATCGAACCCGCGAGCTCGCTAACCGCACGGCCACGCAGGTGTACTCCGGCAACGCCGTGATGGCCGCCGCCATCGGCATCCTGCGCGGCTCCTGGGGCTGGGCCCTGGGGCGCCCCGGCGCCAAGGTCATCCTGGGCCGCTCCATCGCCGACGTGTCCTGGCCCGCGCCGCCCGTGTCCACGCCCGCCGCCTCCGTGGCCGCCGTGCTGCTCACCATGGCCACCAGCCAGACGGACGCGCAGAGGATCATCGCCGGCCTCATCGCCGTGCTCGTGGCGTGGCGCAGCTACGAGCTGTTCAACGCCAACTAGGCCCCGCCCGAGTCCACGCCCAATAAAGCCCCGCGACGCACGCTGTGGCGCCTCATTTTCCACATTTCAGCGCGCACACTGGGCCAGAAGACCGGCGCAAGCGGCCGAAACTCTAGACGCGTTTTGAGCTCCAGAGTCGCTAAACAGGACTCGAACCGAACGTGTGACCCCACCAATGGCTTGCACTCCGAACGAGGAATCCATTGGTGGGGTCACACGTTCGGTTCGAGTCCCTCAGTGACTGTGGAGCTCAAAACACGTCTAGAGTTTTGGCCGCATCCACCGGTCTTCTGGCAAGCCCACTGTGCGACCGTGGGACGCGAGGGACTTCTTTGAGACGCCGAGGAACAAAGCACGCGCCCCATCCCCATGTACGGCACACTGGAACGCTCCCCTCGCGACCCCGGCGGGCCGCGCTGGCCGCGCCAGCAAGGCACCGCCCCGCGCTAAGAAGTCGCCGACGCGGAGGTCAGGGAACGCCGCCGCCAGGTAAGGGTCGCCGGCGAGGCGAGGGTCGCCGCGGGTCGCCGCCGCGAGGGGTGTGGGAATCGGACCGATGCATGCGTGAGAAGAAGAAGGCCGCGGTTTCGAGTCGGAAACCGGCGCGATTGATCCCACGCAGTGTTGTTGCCAACTTCCCACGACGCCGCTAGTGTCGAAAGGGTTGCCTACCTCCGCACAATGGGCCGGAAGACAGGTGGAGGCGGTCGAAATCCCGGACGCGTTTTGAGCTCCAGAGTCGCTAAATGGGACTCGAACCGAACGTGTGACCCCACCAATGGATTCCTCGTTCGGAGAGCAATCCATTGGTGGGGTCGCACGTTCGGTTCGAGTTCCATTTAGCGACTCTGGAGCTCAAAACGCGTCCGGGATTTTGACCGCCTCCATCGGTCTTCTGGCCCACTGTGCTCCGCCTGCCCCGAAGGGCCAAGAGGGAATGGGAAAAACGGCGCCCGGGGGGAGTCGAACCCGCGACACCGCCGACGACAGCGCAACACGCTTGTTCGCGCCAGGCGGAGCCAGGCTGCTCTAGATTTACGACGAGCCGGGCCGTCTTGTCAGCGTGAGGCCGTCCACACTCTTGCCCGCCCGATTGAAACTTTTATCCATGTTGGGACCGTTTTACTACATCTCGTCTCGGATAATTATGCAAATGGGACTCATCGACGCAATGGCGTTGGGGCGAAGCAAGCGAAGGCAGTCGCGAGGGCCATTCCGGATGCTCCGGGGCCGGGCCAGCGAGTTCTATGAGAAAACTATTTTGAACCACGTCACGTGACCTTGCACACGTTTCATAAAGGAGGATGGAGCGAGGACGATCAGGTTACGCCCCGAGCCTCTTCCACGTAATAACCGAACGATCCCTGGGACGGCCTGCCCCGCCTGCCGCAGCCTTTATTGATTATTTCGATTCGAGCAATCGAAGCAAATCCGACCGCGGAGCCGCGCCACTGTGAACGAGCATAACAAGCTGGGGAAGAAAGTGCAGTGCATTGCAGCGCAACCCGTTTTCCTTCTTGTTGTTGCCAATTTTGCCGGGCATGCCCGAAACAACAACAACAACTAGACTTCCTAGTGGCGTGTCCACGTGTGGAGGCATGCGGCGACAACGACGCCGCTAACGCACAGTGGGCCAGAAGGCCGCTGGACGCGGCTATAACTCTGGACGCGTTTTGAGCTCCAGAGTCGCTAAATGGGACTCGAACCGAACGTGTGACCCCACCAATGGATTGCTCTCCGAACGAGGCATCCACTCGTGGGGTCACACGTTCGGTTCGAGTCCCATTTAGCGACTCTGGAGCTCAAAACGCGTCTAGAGTTTCGGCCGCCTCCACCGGTCTTCTGGCCCACTGTGTGGCGACAACGACGCCGCTGACTAGAATGCAGTGCAGTGCCGGCAGTGCGGACCGGACTCGTTGTCGAAGCATTTGTCAGGCACTGCAGACTAAACACGAGGGAATGCAGCGGAAACTACACTGTACTATGTCTAGGGATCTCTCTCTCTCTCCTCTCTCCCCCTCTCTTCTCTCCCTCTCCCCTTCCTTTTCCCCCCCTTTTTCCCCCCACGCCGATTTTTTCGGGGGCCCTTTAATTCTTGCCCCCGAAAGCGATTTGGGTTTTAAAACACCCGGTTTCCATCCCAGGCCGGGCGGCGAAATTATGTATTTGGCCCGGACCACCCATGCCCCCACAACGCATTCCTCCCTTTCTTCCCTCTCTCCCATTTCTTTTTCCAACTAATTAATGCGGGGTTTTTTTTTTTCAATTTCGTCTTTTTTAAAGTTTTTGGGAGGAGGGAAGGGGAAAAAGAGGGGGATGGCGAGGAGAAAGAAGTTTAAGAAATTTTTTTTTTTTTCCCCCCCCCCCCCCCCCCCAGAGAGAAAAAAGAGGCCGAGAGGGAGAAAGAAGAGGGGATTTTGGGAAAAGACGGAGAGAGGGGGAGAGAGGGAGGGGGAGGGGGAGAGGGGGAAGGGAGGGGGAGAGAGAGAGAGAGGGGGAGAGAGGGGGAGAGGAGAGAGAGGAGAGAGAGAGAGAGAGAGAGAGAGAGAGAGAGAGAGAGAGAGAGAGAGAGACCGAAAGAGTCCACACGGAGCATCCAGGCGGTTGGTTATTCCCCAAACGATTGGCGAAAAGAGCTACAAATACACACTCACACAAACACACACACCTACACTCGCGGCTGCTTGACCAGTCCCCCGCGACGCTGTCGACACGCGAAAATACAAAAGCTCAAATTTTTTTTTTTTTTGGCTGCGCGGACGGCAGTGCCTAACGGTTGCTCAAAGGGTTGCTTCACCGTCTGCTCGTGCCTTACAGTGAGGTAGACAAGGTTCAGATTTCCGGCTGCTTACCTTCGCTACAACACGAGCTCAAAGGGTACTTTCGTAGATCCCTGAACCGGAAGCACACAGACGCCATGTTGGCGGAAGTAGATCCAAACTTGACATGGGAAAGAGACGTTCGTCAAACGTATCGGCCACACTTGAACATAAACAGTCGTTTGATACTTGTTTGCAGTGCATATGTGTTTCGCGAGCAATATTTGTACAGCTCGGCTATAGTTTTGGATCCGAAGAGAGGTTAGTTTCCGGCCAATTTGGCGTCTGCTGGTCTGCTTGCTTCCGGTTCAGGATTCTACGAAAGTACCCTATTTCCGTCTTGACCAGCAAAAGGAACGTAAGAGCGACCGAGCAACACATTCCAGAACCGTGTATACTTTTGGCGGAGACTGCCCTGCTATGCCGCGGTCCCGGACAAAACCGTTCCAGCATGCCGTCACTCGGCCACCCCTCCCCTCCCCTCCCCCCGTCCGCGGCTCATCCAGCCCTCATGTGTGTTTCGCTCGCCGCCGCGACCCGAAGCGACCCGCCGCGCCGCCAAGCCTCGCAGCTGCTCGGTGGGGGTAGCGCTGGCTCGCTTGGCGCAGTCGCGCAGTCACAGGGGTGAGTGAGACAATCAGTGCAGCCGTTACGGGGCGGGGAAGGGGGGAGGGGGGTCATTGAAGCCAGTATGGAAGTTGCGATGAACACACCGGTCGCCCAGTTCACCTCCCCTCCCCTCCCCTCCCTCTCTGACTTCAAGTAGTTCAATCTTCCCGAAGGAAAGTAGTCTTGCATGGTATATACTGGGGTCCAGAGGGTCCAAAGGGTTTTCTCCAGTCGAATATCGAATATCAAAACCTTTCGTTTGACTCCAAGGGCTCTGCGGCGACGAAGAAGACGACTGTCGAGTCAAATGGGGCACACGAGCCAGCAGACTGATTCCGTGAGTCGTTTTCGTCGCTGTGCGTCTTCTGTGCGCGCACTCATGGGACGTCCCGTATGGGTGCGAGAGAGACAGAGCGACGGAAACGGCTCTCGGAATCGGTCTAGTACTGTCGCGCGTCAAATGGGGCCGAATGGGGCGGAGGGGACGCGCCCACATAGCGTTCCTCGGCAGCCACACTGTTTTATCGACTAGATCGCCACCAACGGCGTTGCGCTTATCGCAGCAATGCCACCCGCACCTTGCCGGAGCACACAAACAACAACAACCGTCAACACACCGCCAACAACAACAACAACATGAGCGTCGCCGCATAGTGAGCCAGAAGACCGATGGAGGCGGCAAAATTCAAGACGCGTTTTGAGCTCCAGAGTCGCTAAGCAGGACTCGAACCGAACGTGTGACCCCACCAATGGGTTCCTCGTCCGGAGAGCAATCCATTGGTGGGGTCACACGTTTGGTTCGAGTCCCATTTAGCGACTCTGGAGCTCAAAACGCGTCTAGGGTTTTGGCCGCCCCCACCGGTCTTCTGGCCCACTGTGCGCCGCAGTGCTACGCTTGCCACGCAGCGCAGAAATGCGCCCCGCACTTTGTTTACTTTGGGCCAATCTCGTTGAGAAAGCAGCGTGCGGTCGTCGGTTACATCTCCGGCCGCGTCCGAGGGGCCGCGGTGCGAAATGGCGAACAGCAGAGTCGCTTTCGTCGCTCTGTCTCTCTCGCACTCGTGGGGCGTTACTCACTAAAAAGTTTCTAGCTGATTCGCTCCTAGTGGTGCAAATTTCACACTTTCACAGTGCGAAAATGGACCACTCCTGGAGGTGCTAATTTTGCACTACAGAGTGCAAAGTAGTAAGTCGATAGCACTCCCCAGTGCAAAAGTGAAACCAGGGGTGAAAAACGCCAAAAGTGCTAATTTTACCCCCCATAGTGTGATTTTTACTCTTTGAAGTGCAATTCTTCATTTCAGAGTGTGTTAAAACAGCAAGTTCTCTTTGGGGAAATGTTCAATAGACTAAAGAAGAATGGCTTATGGTATGTCAAGTTTAATTAAATCCATAAAATTAAACAGAGTCAAAGCTACTGAGGCTTTAATTTCACAAATTCAAAACTATCCATGAGGAAATAAAAACAATAAGTTTTTATTACAGAAGAGTAACTCCACCCCAAGGAGGACCGAGAACTGGGATTGGGTCACGGATTCGGTTCAAACTTTGTGGGTTCAATAGGTACCACTAGGACATATCAACCCCCAAAGGAAAG